AAACTGTGATTATTCCTGGCCCCAAATAACCTGGGCCCCGTATCCTTGACTCTCCTTTTACCTGTCAACATTTCTATTATTTTTTATGATTATGTTGCTGCAAACAGTATTTTAATTGCTGTGGGCTTATGACAAATATATGAACATATTATTAGTACATGTCAGTTCCCATCTCCCTTAACTGTATTTGACTGATTCTAATATTTTTCACATTTGACAGTTTCTGAAATCAGGTTGTAATAATATTAATAGTGAAAGCACAGTAATTTATTTATTTTCCAAAAAACAATGTTTTTAAATTAATAATCTTACAACTGATGGTGTCTTGAAACCAAATATTTCCTATCATATGTGTTCTCAAGCAAAGTATATACTGAACTTCCTGGATTCTTTTTAAGTTGGTCCAAAATGTGTTGTACTTTCCGGATAGCCTTTGAAATACTTAACCCAGAGTTTATCTGTTCCCTGATTTCAGCACAGATGAACTATTTACCTTTTTTTAAATTTCCTTAAGTTCTGTTGTGTGTGGTGTGTTAAGTGCACCATTTTAACCATCTTTCCAGAAATGTTTATCACTTAAGTCTTGAAAGACTTAATTTCCCAATGATTTTGTGAACCATTTAAAACCTTGCAACGTCTCTTTCTGCCTAAGTTTTCTAGAATGAATTCTTTTCCCCAAAATAAAGTCCTAAAAGATATAGGCTATTGGAGTATATTTGACATAGATATTAGGTAAAAAGTCTAAAAGTCTATCCATGCATACAACTATTATAATGAAAACTGAAGGAAGGAAGGCAAATCAATTTGGGGTATTAGAGTTTCTGTGTGGACCTGAGATGCCTGGGTGGCTCAGTTGGTTAAGCGTCTGACTTTGGCCCAGGTCATGATCTCACGGTTCGTGAGTTTGAGCCCTGCGTCGGGCTCTGTGCTGACAGCTCAGAGCCTGGAGCCTGCTTTGGATTCTGTGTCTCTCTCTCTGCCCCTCCCCTGCTCACACTCTGTCTCTCTTTCTCAAAAGTAAATAAACATTTTTTTTTTTTTAAAGAATTTCTGTGTGGGCCATATTTGAAAATTACTGTTGGTTCAACCCATATATAATTTCAAAGGGTGCTTTGGTATGTGCTCATCTTTAACAGAAAAACTCAGGGAAACATGACAAAACAAACCAACTCTAACAACCTTAAGTTCAGAAATTTAAGTAACAACAGGCTAGTGAAATAACTTCATTCTACCTTTATAGCAGCTTTCTGCAGCCTTTTCCTGATCAAGATAAATTAAACATATACTCAAGTTTGGTTTTTCTACAACTTCAATAATTATTTTTCCAAAGTGGAAAACCTATACATTATTTAAAAAACCTGTTGAATACATTAGAAATAACACAGAACTGAACATTTTTCAAGCAAAGTTAGGGCAGTCAGTAATAAGCTTACACACTTTCCTGGTCATAGAGGAGTAAAAGCTAGAAGCCATTCTTCTAAGTATTGTTGTTAGAAACACTAATTTAATTATTTGAAATAAAACCTAAGCACTGAAAAAAAAAAAAAATGTCAATGTGAGTATCCCGAAATCCTGAAGAGAATCTGGATCAACAACAAACTTTTGACCAGATGCCAATAAAGTCTTGTTTTCTTAAGACAGGAAACTGGACATTTTCTTCTCTTGTTGAACTTAAATTTTCCATGAACTATACTGTGTAGTTCGATCACAAACAAACCCCAATAATAGGATCACACACTATTTTAAATCCATACATATGACACTCTGGAATCAGAAGTAAAAGCCTCATGCAGATGGCACCGGGGTAAATTGTAATTAGTGACCCCAGACCTGCTCTTTTCTAGGACTCTTATTTTTTCCTGGTACTGTTATTAAGAGGGCACAAAATTCAAATAAAAACTATTTGCCTTTTCAATGGCAATAGTTAGCTAGCTAAAGATATAAAAAATAATTGGTTTGTAATAGATTGAAGACGTAATGCTCTAAAATCTTTTAAAATTCTCAACTTCCTACTCCTGTGTGATCAGTGTCATGGAAACAGATGTCTGACTCCAGATTTAATTTCTCCCATCCCTGCCATAAGGCATATATCACCTAAACACAAACTCTCACCAACAAATTTCTCTAGTGTTTCTTGGGTCCTGAAAGCCTGATTTTTTTTTTTTTATTTGGCCTTCTTGCATTTTATTCCATCATACTGGTACTTCTGATTTTCCAGACACATGGAATGGTAGGCACTGTGGATTGCGTTGGATGTCCAAGGATTGGGTGGAATGACAGGATTGTGATGTTGGTTAGGACGCAGAATACGGCTAGAGATACATCTTGCCCTTGCACCATAATGTACCAATTTAAGGCTCATCTCTTAAGCATTATTATGAAACACTTAGGGATAAAAAAAGCGTAGACTGTATTGCAATCAACACGTGTATTCACATCATGCAGTTTAAGATATGACATTTCAGCCTTTTCTCCCTTGAGGAATTTCCTCCCCCATATTTGATGCTTTTCACTTCCATTCCATAGTCGTTTATTACACATGTCCCCATAAACAACATATATTATTTTGCATGCCTTAAACTTAAAAAAAATTGCAAGTATTCTTCCAAAATGTTCTTTTTGAAATTCTTGTTTTCCATGTAGCTCTAATTACTTTTACTGCCATAAGTACAGCAATGTGTATGTATTGGGTAGAAATCCGTTCTCTGACTGATGGATAGATTGTTTCCAGTTTCGTACTCCTTAGAAATAATGGTGCTATGATTTTCTTATTTGTGACCTCATTGTAAAAAACTTGCTCTGAGATATACACCAAAGAGAACACTTAATTTATAGAATCTTCAACATTACTAGATATGCTAGCTGGCTTTCCAGTAGCTGTACCAATTTATGCTCTACTAGCAGAGTGTGAGGCTCTAGTGATCCACAACCTTGGGGATTATACACTCTGCAAGCAGGGTTTTAGCTGTTGGAATCCTCTGTGGCCTGGGTGAGGATATGTTCCTCTGACTACTGCAACTGCTAGTCACTCCAAGGATATCTCCAAGGATGTTTTCATGTTAATTTTTAGGTGTCAAGTTTCCGTATCACAAAGGTGGTGCGAATTCAAGCCTGGAACCTGTGGTCAGGTAAGCTTGTAGTCAGAATTCTCAGAGGAGCCTCTTTTTTTGTTTAATCCAAAGCACAGACTTAAGTCAAGAGGGCTCCCTGTGACCTCTCTTGCCAGCAGAAGAATTTCTTTTCTAGTCTGCCCTTACACTGAAGGTGTTGGTCTTTAATGACCTGGGCATTCTATATGAGGGTCAGTTATAACTTTGTACATCACATGGGTTGAAGGGTCTAAGTGGCCATTAACATCTGAACTCCTTATTGAGATCACCACCTTCCTCCCCACCACCCAGCTTCCAGCTTGAAAGCCCGTGTCAGGTGAAGCTTGCTGTTCCGATTTTTATTTTATTGGCAACAATAATTTAAAATTTTTTCTGTTTAGGCCTTTGGGGATAGGTTTTTCTTTTATTTATTTTGCGCCCTTGGCACTTAGAGGGAAGAAGTTATGGTCCTCTAATAACTGAAGGGAAAATGGGAAGCATAAAAGCAATTTCGAGGTCCTATTTATTTCATTGAGTAAGGCTTCTATTCTAAATCAGCAGAAACCAACAGAACGTTCTGAGTGATGGAAGTGGTCTACAATTTATTCTGTCCACATGGCAGACATTTACCACACATGACTACTGAACACCTGAGATGTGGTTAACGTGTCTGGTGAACTAAATTTTTAATATTATTTAATTTTAATTCATTAAAATTTAAATTTAAGTAGTCATATGTGACTAGTGTCTATTTGACAACAGAGCTCTAAATAGTAGTAATATTCTTTGTCCCCTGGTGATTTCGTGTATATACTAATAAACCAATGTAGTCTGGGAAAAAAACGCCTTGCAAATCTATTTTTGATAGTCAAAGGATAAGACAGTTGAGACATGACTTCAGAATATCTACCACCACAAAACTGTATAGTCCTATTATTTTGATAATCAGGTATTTCTTGCCTGACTTGTCTTTCTGGAAATTTTCAAAGATCTAGGGCACATTCTTTCCATTGCCAGTTTCTGAACTGGAAGTCGGGGAATCGATTTCCGACAGTTTTTCAAAGATATTTATAGAATATTAAAGTGTCAAGAAATTCCAAAGATAAAGAATTAAGAACAAAAATACATATATTTAAAATGCAACATAAGAAAATATGACTAATAGTACAATTAATTTGGTTTATCTTTGAAATGAAAAAGTTTATTGGTAACCTGAAAATGTGTGCAACTCAAAACATGAACATACAATTTATTTATATTATTTTATGAAACAAAACAAAACAAGTCTATTGCTTTAGGCCTGAACTGGGCTTATGTTTCCAATTAAAAAAAATTTTTTTTAATGTGTATTTATTTTTGAGAGAGAGAGAGAGACAGAGACAGAGCACAAGTGGGGGAGGGGTAGAGAGAAAGGTAGACACAGAATCTGAAGCAGGTTCCAGGTTCTGAGCTGTCAGCACACAGCCTGACATGGGGTTCAAAATCACGAACCGTGAGATCACGATCTGAGCCGAAGTCAGACACTTAACCGACTGAGACACCCAGGCGCCCCTATGTTTCCAATTTTTTAAACTTGGCAAGGGGGATTACATGAAATAACTCTCAATTCTCTCTCTCTCTCTTTTTTTATTGCCATAAGTAGAGATTAAGAAGGCCAAAGCAAACATGTAGGTGTGAATTATAATGAAAACAAATACATATCTAGAAACAAGGCCACAAAAGTTTGGTTTGTGCATTTGTCTATTCCACTGGCTGGCCTTTAAAAGTAATGGTCTGTAAATATTTCTCACTATGGATTAATCCACACCCATTTTCTTTTACTTATTTATTTAGAGAGAGGAGCAAGTGGTGGGGGGAGAGTGAGAGAAAGAGAGGGAGGGGGAGAGAGAGAGAGAGAGAGAGAGAATGAATCCCAAGCAGGCTCTACGCTGGCAGTGCAGAGCCCTATGTGGGACTTGAACTCACAAACTGTGGGCTGAAATCAAGAGATGGACACTTAAATGACTGAACCACTTAGGTGCCCAACCACATGCATTTTCTATGTTCTTGTATAAAACTGAGGCTCACAGGCTGGGCATTTAGTAATGCAGTGAAACAGTTTCTGGAGTGAGGAAAGCATTTCATGAGATGAATAAACTAGGTCAAAAATGAAAAAGCTGAAGTTTGCTCTTTAAAACAGCACACATTTCCGGATAAAACTGACTTAAAGTTGTGTCCAAAGATTTTCATGGACGTTTTCATTGTATCCATATGATTTAAAATGTCTTTAAACACTGAAGCCTCTCAATTTCAGACATTTTGCTTATGAGAGGTTTTTTTTGGACACTCTCAAGACAAAATTTTAAAAAGAAACAAGTTTTCTCTAGAAAGCATTTTTAGCATACTGAACATGCATACTTTCTCAGAGTGTATGTAGCCCGCTCTTCTCCTGATACTCTTCATAGAAACGTCTCAATGATTTAGGAATTCTGGGTGTCACAGTGCTCAAGGCCTGAGTAAAATGTCTTCTCATAATGTGGTTGGCTTGAATGTCTTCTTCCAGAGCCAGAAGAGCCGCCTCTCTACAGACAGCTATAATCTGAAGCAAAACATACAAAAACAAACATACAAAACAAAAAAGGGGAGAGAAAAGACAATCAATATTTCAATGGATTCAACTGAATATATTTCAAATATTCATCCGTGGTAACTGCTTCAACTATAAGCACCCTTGCCAACATTTATCTTCTTGGTTATTCCACTTCAGTTTTCAAAAGGACAAAAAGTAATCGTCTTCATTCCAAAACCATGTAGTAAGTACTCAGAATCAGGAGCAGCAAAAAGATATATAAGATATGGCATTCGTTCTTAAGAAGCCCACAACTGATAAAGGTGGAACAGACACACAGGCACATACTTCTAATACAAGATGACAAAAGATGAGTGTGTATGTGTGGTGGGGGCAGGTAAGAACCAAGTGATAAGGGGGTGAGGGCAGAGGAGGGAGCTACTCCGATATACAGTGAAGTCCTGCGCATCAGCGCACCTTGTCATGGCATAGAATTTCCACATTACTTTCAACCTTTGATGTATTACCGACATGTAAAAGCATTTCTTTATGTGCATCTCTTGAACAAGTTCTTAAATCTTGGGAATATCAGATAGAGTTTTCTAAGTTTACTTTGGAGAGCTGCTTTAGAACAGAGACGTGAATTTTGTTTACTCAGTGAGGAAAGCTGCAAGAATTGAAAAGAATCTGGGGAGGGGGTGGAATGGATGCAGAAGGAGGGAGGACAGAGTGGGCGGTAGGAAAACGGAAGGGGAGGAAGGTTCAAATCTTGAATCCTGAAATGTGTTTTTAAGCTCTCTGGACTTCAGACAGCGGAAGCAGGCTGATGCCGGTGTCATTCTAAAGACACATTACTGTGGTGAAAAGAGCTTGTGGGATGAAAAGAGATATTGTGATTTTCAGGGCAACAGGGAAAACAGTGATTGATACTGACTGCACCTTTATATCGGTAAATGAAAGGGCCAGCTGAAACACATTTGTCCAGCCATTCAGCATATTTTCTCTGTTTGTTCACTTACTGAAAAGAGTTCCTCTGCTTATGCTGGGCTAATGGCTGCCAAAGCAGTTTAGTAGCTTTTTAGGGGATTTAGCAGCATGTTTAGGGAGCTTTCAAAAAACTTGCATAGATTTAGATGGCTTTGTCAAATTACGACAATGTAACTATTAGTTCTGGGCTTCATTAATGAGCACTGAAGTTGACTATAGTGCTTATGCATGTTAATGCTTTTCCAAAAAGAGTGGCTACCAACTTGTTGAAGGAAAAAAAACAAAACTTCCAGGGCTTAGTAAAATAACTTCATCACATATACTGGTGCAGAGAGAGTTATTTTGAAAACAAGATATAATAATTAATAAGCACAGTAAAAGCACATGAAATGCCTAGCATGGTAAACTGGCTATCCAATGGTTCCACTCTGTTCCAAAGGAACCTTGAGGACCTCCACGAAGGGAGGAAAAAGGAACAAAGTGGAGAAAAGCCTCAATTCCTTCCTTCCCTCCATCTCAGCAGCACTTCTGCTACCTGCAAGAATTTGAAGCAATGGCTGCAAGGCTGAAAAGTTTGAAGGATCAGTGGGAGAGGCAGAAAGGCCTGAATTTCCTGCTGGCTGGTGGACTTCTAGCTCTTCATCTGAGACAGTACAGGGAATGTTTCCATCATGTGGGTCCTTTCCCATGCTAAGTGGAGTACAGAAGTCACCAGTGCCATGTCTTGCACACTTCATAACTGAGACTTACCTCAAAGAATACTGGATCCAGTACATAATGGCTACAGACATTTACTGAGTACCTACCCCATGTGCTAGACAATGCTAATGGCAGTACTAATTAATTGCTATGTGAACACTCCCCGCCCCGCCCCTCGATTTTGTATAATTCAGGGATCCCACTAATAGTGTACAATATCTGATGGGAGCATGGCAAACAGAGTGGCCAGATAAACACAGTAAGCTGGTGGGGGGGGGGGGGGGTAGGGAGGTTGGGTGGAGGAAAGGGAGAGGTGACCACAAGGCTGTCTGGAACCTCTCCAAGTTCCTGGAATTTGGTTCACATGGCCAGATAGTGAGTAGCTCACACTGCTGGTACATCTGAGAAAGAGAACTAACAGTCTAGTAGGCTTCCTCTCTCAATATACAGTAATCAAACTGGGAGAAGAAATGGTTATACTCCTCTAATCATCGGAATCTCAGATAGCCTAACAAGGCATGGTAGAGAAATGTAGGTAATGGGAGGTGACAGGTCACTGAGGCCTTGAAGGCTGTCCTTAGGGTCAGCAACCCTGAGCAATTCCTCTTGTAGATCAACTTTCTTTCCTTCACATCTCTGTCTATAGATTTTCCTAAGCTATAAATTGCTTTTTGCTTTTATGTGGCAGCTTCCAGGACAGTGATGGGGGGGCACTGGTGGCGAGATGTGGTCAGAGCAGTAACAGCCACTTGAAAGCTGGATGTTTGTAGCTTAGAGCCTCCAGCATATGTTAACACTCAAGAGTAATTCCCCTACTATATTTAGGACTGGCCTGACCCTTAATTAACAATTCCATCCAATTTGGAGAACTACAAAATTGTGAGGTATAGAAAAGTTGGACAGAGTTTTGACAAGAGCACTAACAATGTTTGAGTTAGAAAGAGATGCCCTGTAGAACCTTTGAGAGACAATGACAAGGGAATCAGAGCAGCTGAATCCTGGTATTCAGATGCCACATAGAAAGGTGTCTTCCTCTGTACAGAAGACAGATCACAGTTGTTAGCACTTCCACAGTGGCAGAAGGATTATCTGAATTCAACACTTGCTTCGATAAATGTTTTCCTGTTTTATATTATTTATCAGGGATGCTCTGAAGAACCAGTCAATTAGGCAATACTTTCTACCATTTTTATTTTCCTATCATATTTGCTTAGCAACACACAACTAGTAATTGAGAGGAAGTAAGACACTATAAATCATTAACCAGTCACTCTTTCATCAATCAACATCCACTGAATAACTACTCTGTATAACAACTAGATGAGGCCCAGTAGAGGATTCAGAGATGTCCAAGCTGTGGTATCTGTCTTCTGGTACTCTCAAACCAGTAGGGAATGAACATCAATTGTCCAATGTGGCATGGTATTAGAGGTACTGTTAAGCAAGGCAAAAGGAAAAGTGCTTTGGTATGGAAAGAAGAGAGAAATTACTGCTTCATAAACCGAACTGGGAAGGACGGAATTTAGATATACGTATAGGGGAGAAAAGGGCATTCTGAGCAGGAGGGATAAAGTGAGCAAAGAAACAGCAAGGTGGGGAGAAAGAGACCAGAGATTGTACTCTTCCAGCCTCAGTAGCCAAAATGAAGAATTTAAAGAGAGAGAGAGAGAGAGAGAGAGAGAGAGACAAGATAAGTTCTGTCATCAAAATGTCACTAAAAATAACAATGATAGTTTTCAGAAGTCATGTGGGCCATAATGACAGTGAAGGGTAGTCAATGGCAGTCATCTCTAAATCTCTAAACCCAATTCACAAGCAGTTGATGCACAAGCAGCTGATAGAGAATAACTCCTAAAGGCTCCTTTGTTTTTATTTCTTCCTCATGAAAGAGCTTCTTAGAAATTCCAAAATGAGGGGCGCCTGGGTGGCGCAGTCGGTTAGGCGTCCGACTTCAGCCAGGTCACGATCTCGCGGTCCGTGAGTTCGAGCCCCGCGTTGGGCTCTGGGCTAATGGCTCAGAGCCTGGAGCCTGTTTCCGATTCTGTGTCTCCCTCTCTCTCTGCCCCTCCCCCGTTCATGCTCTGTCTCTCTCTGTCCCAAAAATAAATAAACGTTGAAAAAAAAAAAAAAAGAAATTCCAAAATGAAAGCATTAATTGGATTATTGATTCTCTCTTAACCCAAATAGAAAGGTAGGTGTGAAAATGGAAGTATTCTTAGGAGGCTCATTTCATGATGGGTGGTTTCTATTTGCTCTGGGGTCACTTACTTTAGCATGAGTTCCAAAGATACCATACTTCCCAAGAAAAGTGCAGCTTGCTCTCAGGGCCCCTGCCAGCATTTGCCCTGCCATATTAATGTCTTTTCAGAGGAACAAGTATTTCGTGATCAAGTTTTAGGTAACAGTACATATATTCTGTTTCCCACAATACACAGAATTGCCCTGGTTTTGGCAGAACACCTATAAGTGGCTATCTCTTGAATTACTGGTGATCTTCAGCAAACGTTCTCGAAGGTGTTAACCAATACAAAACAATTCAATAAGGACACAATATGGCTTTTGCCTATTTCATAGCCTGTTTTTTTTTCTTTTGCTCTCTCCTATTCCAGAATGGAGAAAAGAGGGCAAGGGAGAAAAAAGATACTGGAGAAGGACCAGTCTGTTTAATGGGGTCAAAAGGCAGCAGCCACAGCACACATTTGGGTTCTGGAGATATAAATGGTCAATGCATATTTGTTGAATCGAACTGAATAGTTCCTTAACTATAAACAAAGTTTCCAAAAAGTACACATTATATGTATCTTTTTCATATTTGGTCTATATCCTATAATATTTTAATCTATGTTTCATATAACCTACATTTTTGTCAGTTGTACTTTGTCAGTTACATTAGTAACAAGAATTGTTTAACACTGTGATATATGTTGTCTTAAGCAATGATTTAGTCTGGGGACCTACTTTAAATCTAGTTCCTTCCTAGAAGTAATAGAAATTAGAAATTTTATCAAGAATACAAGTATGTCTGTGTTATTTTGAGGGAAGCTTCCTGAGGTATCAAAATTTGTTACATAGGGACGGGAACGTTTTTGCTGTGTTGTCATGGGAAAAACTGTGCTGTAATGAAGAAACATGCCTGAAAATTTACTAATAATGCAGTAATTTATATTAGGTTAGGGGACTGAAATGGAAGCTTTGGTGGGGGGGGGGAGAACCCCAAAATTGTGCAAATGGTGATCTTTTGTCCCATTTGATGAAAATAACCTGGTATCAATCAACTGTTGATGGATTTTCTTTTCTGTATTAAACTCTGAAAGAGTGAGGTCTTTTTTAGATTAAATTTGCCA